GGTGGGAAGGGGTGGACGATGCAAGGTTGCTTGAGAAGTACAATATGCATTGCTTCAGTGATATATCGGCCGTAAGGCACTGACTTTACAATGAACTATATCAATGTAGCAAAACTGCACTTGTATCCTATGAATATATACAAATAAAAAATTTTAAAATTAAAAATAAATTATCAGACACAAAGTAAATAAACTAAACCTGAAGGATGCTAGCCTCATCTCCTCTGACATAAACATTAAAAACGAAGGCACTGCATTTGTAACTATCATTGGCAAATTCAACAGAGGTGGTTTCTGTATCAGTTATTATTCACAACAGAATATTTCTAAAATATTATGTTGGAGATGAAAGAAGATAAAGAGTAAATTTTCTAGAAAAAACAGAGTAAAGATGCTGGAGAACAAAGAATAAAAGGAGGCATCTACAACCAATAAAGGACTCAAAGTAAGAACTCAAAACTTTTGTTAAATGAATAATATAGAAAGAAAACAAAAGCCTGAAGATTTTAAATTTAATCCAAAATGTGAGATGATATTTTTGATCACCATTTATAACCTTCCTAAAATTTACTGGAATATCATGAGGGAAAAACAGAAATCTCTTTTCCAATATACTTAGGAAGGAAACAGAATACCTGGCTTCTAGTCCCAACCTCAGCTGTTGTGGGGCCTCAAGTAGTAAATCTGTAATCTGTATTTATTTGTAAAATGAAGATAATTATTCCTACACACCTCATAGTAATGCTGTGAGGATAGATGATATCACATGGAAGTGGTTTAGAAACTATTAAGAATTTTGCAACTGTCGGAAATTTATTTTATTTTTACTTTCAGGAAGTAAAGAGATTCTTGATTGATAAAAGTTACTCTTTTCTAAAGAAGGCAGAGATGAGCTATGACCTACTCATCTAGCTGCTGTAATAATTACTTGGAGAAGGATCTATCAGATATTTTTTGACTTCTATTGCTCGGAAAAGTTTTAGAGTATGCAGTAACCTCTTTAGAGCCTAAATAAATGTAATTATATAACAGAGACTGGCTGGGCATGGTGACTCATCCCTGTAATCCCAGCAATTTGGGAAGCTGAGGCAGGAGGATCACTTGAAGCCAAGAGTTCAAGACCAGCCTGGGCAACACAGCGAGATCCTATGTCTACAAAAAAAGAAAAGGAAAGAAAAGAATTAGCTAGACATGGTGTCGTGCACCTGTAGTCCAAGCCACTTGGGAGGCTGATGCAGGAAGGTAACTTCAGCTCAGGAGTCAAGGCTGCAGAGAGCTATAATCATGCCACTGCACTCCCTGGGCAATAAAAACTAAAAATAAAATATGATAAAAAATAAAATAAAATTATAAAAAAAATTTTAAAATAAAAGAGATGGAAAACAGACCAGTTATATCATTAATATCTTTAAAGTGTAAGCTAACCCCAGTAGTTCAATTTTTCAAGTGGAAAAAATAGTTTCTTCTACCTGTGCTCTCCACCCACATAACACCCCAGAGTTCCATGCATGATTGAAGGACCCTTCTGTAAAAGGTGAGAGGAATCGAGTCTACCTATGCTGATTACCAAAATCTTAACTGTGGTACTCCATTGGATCCAGCTGATTCCTATTCCTCCCCCTCGAGTCTTTAGGAAGACATTAAAATACTTTCTGAGAATAAATGCACATGAAAACTGACCATACACAATCTCCTTGGCTGTGAACTCAGGCATGTATACAAAATGAACTATAGAAAATATGCCCTCTGCTTCTGGTTTAAATTTCAATGCCTCCTCATCAATGACATGGTAAAAATCCAACCTGGTTACATTCAGAGCCCCTTCTTTTCTCATCTTGGTTCTCAGTCACCTGCTGTTGGAACCTGTTCCATGCCCAGGCCCATCAGCATGGTCAGAATAATCAGAACGATTGCATTCCTCCCACAAGAACTTCAGTGCTAGCCTCCCTAAATGAGTAGTTGTAAGCCAGCTCTATCCATCTACACAGCTTACAGATCATGGCTAATAAAGAGCAAGCTCCAGATCACTCAAGCTCCATTTTCATCACATGCTCAAGACACACCTCATTTCCCTCCTGGCCTTCTGCCATGTCTTGGAAGGGTCTACATTGCTTCTGACTCAAGCTTTGTTCCCCACTTTTAGTCCTAATTCTAGCCATCAGACTTGAAGATTCATCTCGTTTTCTTTAGCTTATCCTTTGGTTCACTCCAAGATCTTTGGCTCATAATTACCATATGGCTTTTTCTGCCACCCCTCTTAAACCCATGAAAACGCCAATAAAATATTTCAAAACAGTGACAATGATAATAATAACAACAGCAACACTGATAAACCTGAGTTTGACTTGGATCTTAATTTCAGTGAAGGAGACCTTACTGCTTACATCTGCCCTGATCTTGGTCTACTCTAATCCACTCTATTAACCAGCACCATGATGGAGCCCATCCTACTAAAAGAGAACCTCAGAACAATGGAGTTCTAACCCTGTGAATACCTCTCAGAAGACTACTTCTTAATTGTCTCATGTAGACAAGAGCCCACCCATATAAACAGAAATTTAGGCATTACCTGCAACAAATCCCCAGTCTTAAACAATAATTTCTCAAAGCATAATCTTTAAATATAGTCACCATGTAATTATCATATAGCTCTTCTGGTACCATTTATATTAGCCCAGTACAAATATGGGCAATTAGGAAGACAAAAGGGGTTCACTGTCTTTTAATCCATCTTCTATAAAACACTTGATGTAGTTCTGTAGTTGTCAGAAATTAAGAATTTTATGTTTGTCTTTCTGCTACACTGCATGACTTAGAAGAAGTATAAAGAAAAGCCTGAATTTTTTGAGGGGTTCTTAATTTTCTTCTTCCATACCTCTGCCTAATCCAGGGCTCTAATTCCCTATTTTATCCTCACACCAGTTGTATGAGATAAGTATTATAATTCGTTTGATTTCCACTATCAAGCTATGAAAAGACCTGAAGGAACCTTGAATTCATATTACTAAGTGAAAGAAGCCAATCAGAAAGGGCTACATACTGTACTATTCCAACCATATGACATTCTGAAAAAGGCAAAATTATAGAGGCAGTTAAAAAGATCAGTGGTTTTCAAGAGTTAAGGGAGAAGAAGGGATGATTAGGTGGAAAACAGCAGACTTTTAGGGCAGTGAAGCTCCTGTGTTACAATAACGGTAGATACTTATCATATCACTTGTCAAAACCCATAGAATGCACAACAGCAAGAGTGATCCCTAATGTAAACTATGGACTTTGATAATTATATGTCAATGTAGGTTCATCGATTGCAACAAATGCACCATTCTGGTGCAGGATATAGATAGTGGAGGAGGTTGTATTTGTGTGGGGGACAAGGAGTATATAGGAATTCTCTGTACTTTACACTCAATTTTGCTATGAACCTAAAATTGCTCTAAAAAATAAAGTCCTTTAAAAAAATTATTTCCCCACTACAGATACCATGAACTTTAAATTATTTCACATCCTGCTCCAGTTCCTAACACCCTAGGCCTACGGTATTAACAACAGAACAAAAATTAGACAAAGTAAGCCAATAGAATAAGATACTAGAAAAAGTAAGAGTATCCCAGGGCATCCTAATTATCCCTGTTTCCCTTTCTTTCTCCTTCCTGTCATATATTTTGTCAGCCATTTGTTGTTTTGCCTCTTTTATCCCTACCACATGACATCTATTTACACAAATGGAAAAAAAAAAAAAAAAGCAAAACTTTTTCACAGTATTCTTAGAATTTCCTGTTCCAGATACTAATGCTGCAAGAACTTGGAGTTATAAAGCAACCGTTTATTACGCTCATAGATTCAGTGGGTTAATAGGCACAGCAGGGATGGCATGTCTCTGTTCTCTGATGTCAGGGACTTGAGAATCTTCTGGCCAGTGGGAAGATATCAAGACTGGGTTGACTCAACAGCCGGGGTATAATTGTTTAGAGGTATTTTCTCCTACACATCTGAGTGTGGATAATGGCTATCAGCAGGAGCCTCAGTTAACCCATCAGCTGAAACACCTGTCCATAATCCGCCATTGATTTCTCCATGTGGGCTAGTTTGGGCTTCCTCACGGCATGATGTCTGTGTTCCAAGACAGAGCATCCCAAATGAGCAAGGGAGAAGTGCATGATACTTTTATGATCTAACCTTAAATGTCACATGGTGTCTTTTCTACCATAGTCAAAGCTGCCACCAAGTTCTACCCATGTTTAAGAGGAAGGGCCATACACCCAAACCACTAGATGAGAGGAATGTCAACATCGCACATGTGTAACATGCGGAACAGGAGATGTTGTTGCAGCCATCTTAGAAAATATAATCTGCCACAGTAATGCTTGTTATATCTTCTTACTGTATTTTAAATATCTAGAATATATTGCAATATATATTGCATTTGAATATTTGGTTCAACTTTGCTCCACATCTTTGCACCTAATTGTCTATTTCAGATTGTAAACCACATGAGGACAGGGACAGTTACATTGAATTAATTCACATGAGTTCCACCACAGCACCTTGTACTTGATAATCATAATACAAATTATTACTAGCACTGCAATGGTTGATCGATGCATGCACTTGAGTGATCGTTATTTTTATGCTATAACATTTGTAATGTATGAGAGAAAATCTCCAGGCTAACCAAAATACACACAGCACCTTTAATGCATAAGTGAATTTTATTGCTCCAATTAGGTCTTGGTTGCTTAAGAAGAGTACATAATTTCTTCTCCCAGGTGAACAGATTCTTGTAAAGCAGTAACTGAATCTCACAGCTGGAGTGGGGGGAAATCGCTCACCTGAAGGAACTATCTTGGAACTATTGTTTTTGTTTCTTCGCAATTTTTTTTTACTTTCAGCAGTTTAGTAGATTATGAAAAGGTTTATATTAGTAATCTGTGTAGGACCTTGATCATGAATGTTTACCTCTTCTGAAAAGTTAACTAATGAAGGCAATTGTCCCTCTCCAGTTGATTTCATAGGTGGCTTTGACTCTTATGGCTATCAAGGTCCTCAGAAGACATCTCATTTACAACTACAGCCTATGTACATGTAAGTACTTTGCTTTGAAGGTATTCTGGAATACTAAAAGATGATCAAGTAAATGTATCATGGCACAACATAGATGGCATGCAGCTTTCTCCTTCAGTTATATATTTCCAGAATTTTCTCTTCTATTAATATTGTCTTTACTGGGATAATTCTAACAACATTTTATTAATGATTTTTTTAAATCATTTATCAGAAATGCCATCTTTAAAGTTACCTTTAGTCTTATCACAAGTATCACCTACATGGCTCAAAAGCCAATATTATATACCACTTCTTTGAATTACCCAAAAGTTCTATATTTTGAAAATGATATAACATTGTAGGCAGTTATATGTAACTATAAATAAACCATATGTTCTGGTTTTTCTAGCACAGCCCCAGTTTACACTGGTTGTCCCAGTGCAATTATTACCAGCCATCCATATTACTCTCAGAAGGGTATTCATTTCCATGATAAATGATAGGTTCACCCTACTTATATACAGTGTTCAAAAAAAATAAAAAACTGAGCAATACTCTTCTCTATCATTTTTCTGATGTGAACGTGAAAATGAACTGGAACATTAACACTGAAATTTATCGAACCCTTGACTCTAGCACTCAAGAGAGCAGACATACAATCAGAGCCTGATTTTTATATCTGTGTTTAGGCAAATTCCCTTGGATAACAACTGATAACAAATTCTATATATCAGCATCAAGTGATATGCTGAATTGCAAGCGAAGATCAAAATAGAAAGTAAGATTCCATTCATTTTAAAATGTGAACTTCTCTTTGAAGATATGTGTTTGTTGTCGTTGTCCTCCACCATTAAGTCACATTACCTTTTAATATCTTTAGTGTGTAGGATAATAAATGCAGTTTTAGAGTATTTCTCCTCCAGAAAAATTAATCTTTAGACACCCCTTTTCAAGCTTCTCTTTAAAAAGAGAATAAACTGTGCATTGTGCCTACCTTGTTCTTTGTGTCCCCTGTAGTTCTCTGAAATCATTTGCTAACACCACCCATAAAAAAGACTTTATCAGTTCAGAAATCAACCAATACTTGGTTTCATTTAAAGCATTGCTTCTGTAAACAGTATATCACACATTCTCTTGTTTACATTTTCACAACCACCGTCCTAATTCAAGCGTGCATGACCTGTTAAGTTTTCCAGTTTCTTTCTTATTTTAGAACCTCTATCCTATTCGCCACATGACTGCCAAATTAATCTGCCTAAAAGTACCATTCGGATGATTTCACTTCCCTGCCCAAAAACTATCAGTGACTTCCTATCACCTACTGAACAAAGTTCAAACTCCTTACCATAGCCTGCAAGTCCACTCTGATCTGGCTTCAATGTTCTATTGAAATATTATCTCTTCTCTACAAACTTTAATAACTTTTGAGTCTTGACCGTGTGCAGATGATGCTGAGAGATACTAGAAAAATGTAATAAGAATAAGAATTGGCCCTGTCCTCCTGAAGCCTATACTCTATTTATGGTGTAAATAGTCTAATACCTCCTCTTAACCATTTTTTCCAGCCAAATAAACTCTTCCCTTCTTCGGATATGACATGTATTTTTCCAATGGTCCATACTGTTCTTGTGACACCAAACATAATCTTTTTTTACAAATTCTACCATTTGAAACTCCACTCTCCTTTGAATTTTATCTTAAAATATATTTCCTTTAATACTTCTCTTTCAGTTCTTTTGCCATGTACTATAGTTGTTTGCTATGTATACCATACCTCCCCCATTATCCCAGAAAACTTGGTAGCTACCAAAAAAATAAAATAAATCCTTTAAATTCTTTACCATCCTTCTCATATTTTTATTGTAACCTTTTTTAAAGTGTTCTATTTTTAAAAGGCAAAGCAATAAGGAGTAGTGGTTACAATGACCTATTGAAGGCAGACTGCCTAAGATCAAATTCCATATGAACTTGGGCATATAATTTTATTTGAATAATTGTATTTAATCTCACCAAGCCTAAATTTTCTCACCTGAAAAATAGAGATGATAATATACATACTTTCTATAATTGTCCTGAAATTATAAGAAGTAATGTATGTAAAGCACATGAAATATAGGACATGTCACATAGTAAGTGCTTAATAAACATAATTTATTAGTAGTATAAACAATGCTTATGTTAACCATCACTCATGAAAAGACTTTTTCAAGTCAGAAACTAACATACACTATATGTGATTCCCAGAGGATCTCCTCTGTAAACAATATTCCACATATGGTATCAACCCAAGTAACCTGTAACAATATGTGCTCAAGAGTAGAACAAAACGTCTACAAGGTTTGCAATTGCTTTCTTCTGACAATATCACATAACATTTCACTGTGTTGATCAATATGAATGATTACTAAATATGATCAAGCTATAATAAATTAGATGTAACCCCTCATGTAAACACCAGCTATGATAATAAGATAACATGAGCATGCTAATTATATGTAATCAAGTATATTGTTTCAAATCAACCATTTATAATTCTAATGTTGCCTTAAAGAGGGGATTCCACAAAGATAGGTATCTTTATCCAGAATTAAATTCCTTGAGGACAAAACTTCCCATGAAATAGAACACTTTAAATATTTTGTTAAATAGAACACTTTAAATTCCAACTAAAAGTAAAAAAAAAAAATTGTTTTCCTCTATACTGCCTGATAATAGTAAAATTATATCAGTGCTTTCAAATCTCACTGCTCATAAGTTAAATAGTTAATAGAATTCAAATTTAAGCAGTTAGAAATACTTAAGGTACATAAAAAATTACTAGTCAAAATGCTACTACCATCCCTTCCCACAAAACATCCCACAGGAGACCCCAAACCCTAGAACACTAAGATTTTATTTTACAGATGGGGAAACTGAACCAAGAGAAAAAAGAAACAAAAGTCACTCAGCTTGTTAGTGATGCAGCCAAAGTTATCAACCAGTTTTCCTGACCCCTTAGTTCAGTGTTCTTTCTAAATTCTTAAATGGATTGTAAGTTTGGCCTGATATCACATTCCCTGGTTTTCCCATTCCTTACTCTTCACACTAACTTAGCCATCATATTTTCACACATTGCTGTGCCCCTTCCCTTTTCTGCATTCCCTTTATTCCCTTTTCATGTTACATTATGTACTGTTGAATGAAGGGCCTTTTCAACTTTGTAACTCCTCTGAGAGCCACTGCCTATTCAAATCTGGTGAAAAACCAAAACCGATTCACCTACAAACCTCATCCCCTGCTGAGAGGCAGAGACCTGAGCATCTCCTATGTCTTTGTCATTTGGAGTGTACCTTCGCCTGTCAACCTGCCATAAATATGTCTTGTAAAGTAAGTGTAATTTAACATCAGGGGCCAGTTCAAGCACCCTAACAATATTATATAGCAACTGAAAATAAAAGCTGTTCCTTTGAAGGAAAGCAAATGTTGAAAAGCAACATGCAGTTTTAGCTGTAGGGCTCCCATTGTACCCAGCAAATCTGTCGCCAAGATCCTGGACAAAGCATTGAAAATACTGCCATAACTGACTTGCGGTCACAGCCGTGTTTCAGTTCCTGTACTAAATGAATAGATGGTCCTCTTTATTTTTCATTAATTTGGGTGAATGTTCTTGGTTTGCAATTCTTCAGATTATCTATAACCCATCTGAAAAGGAAAGATTTTCATTTTTTTCCCTTAAAGTTTGGTAGACCTCTTTGAAATAAATCAATAGCAATGAAGTTGCTGCACAAAAAATTCCCGTCCACACATTAATTTTCTAACAAAGGAGCTGCTGTGACTACCACTGACCTATGTGCCATAGTGAGTATAGATCTGATTGGATTCCCTGCAGTATAAGAGTATCCTGTGGTACATTCGACAACATTTGAAAACATTGCATTCTTTTTAGCAGCCTAATTGCACAGAAATATATATTTATTTCATTGGTCCCCAGAAATAGATTTTAAATCACCATAAGTAGCCTCTCTATCCAAAGAGTTGCACTGAGAAAAAAGAAAAGGAGAGGAAAATTAAGGAAAATTGTCTATTTAAAATCCAGTGGGCATTCTTTTTTGTTGTTGTTCTGTTTTGGGTTTTTTTTTTTTTTCTCTTGTGCTTGGAGAGGTGAGAAAAGGTGGCGAGCAACAGGCACCCACTGTTCTCCCCCTTGATTAAAAACGTCTTTTCTCTCTCTTAGGTCAAAATAACACCGATGGCTTCAGTATGTCAGCCCATGGACCTTTCAAAGAACTTGTTTCGCAGTGGCCTCCTGCATTTTATGAAGAACAAGAAGCAACTGAGTTTTAATACATATACATATTAACAAAACAAACACAAAGCCTCTACAGATACTGAGACCCGCGCGGACACACGCGCGCGCGCACACACACACACACACACACACACACACACACTCGAGCACGCACACACCAATTCCACTTGACCTCCTCTTTCCAACTGAAACAGACAAATATGCAGGACACGCCCATCTCGGATTTCCCGAAAGCAGGCTCCTTCCTCCCAGGCCTTTGGAAAATTCAAAAGGAGATGTGATGGTGCCCTCTGCTGGCCGTTACTAACTCCTCTGCAGCCCAGCCAGTCGGCCTCTGTGAGCTGCGAAGTCGTCCAGGGCACATTAGTTTGCGAGCTCTGTCTTCTGCACTCCATACATCTTGATAGCACCACGGCTACTTAGGCAATGTAATTGCAAAAACTAACAAACAAAACATGCCATGATGACCTTGTAACCGAAGTCCGAAATGGCAGATTGTTTGCCTGAAAGGCTGTACCGTACATACTTGCCTTAACCCACCTACGTTGTGTGCCCGAGAATCTCAGTGCAGACATCCCCAAGTCACTTCCTTTAGGCGAACACACTGCTATTAATTCTGAATGAGTTCGAGTCTGTGTGTTTCATGTCAAGGAACAAGACTGGATAGTGCAGCAGCTCCAGTGTAGTGTGTCTGTAAAAGAAAACTGCCAGCTGTCAGCAAAGTGCTTTACCACAGAGCCTCCATGGTGGCCAAAAAGAAACAAGTAACAATAACAACAACAATAATAATCGTCGTCTTTATAATTCTTAAATATGGTCTTCTAATGGGGTTGGGGTGGGACAAAGTAAAACTTATTAATCTACTAAACGCATTAATCTACTGGAAGCAGAAAGCAAAAATGGCTTAACTCACTGATTTTATTTATTGCACTCTAGGTGCTTTTATAAGTATCTACAAATGTCTTTTACTAACACAGAAACAGCTGTGCATTTCTATCAACAGAGGCCAACTGAATATGTATTAGCTATGTTTACTCTTTTATATCTAATTCAAATTGAAGACCCTACGTAGGTGACCTTTTTTTTCTAACTAGCGTACGAGATTATTTTTTGGGTGGGTGGGGGGAGCAATAGTTACCTTGGTGAAATATTTGAGATCTCTTTGTGGTATTGGGGGATCTGTTGTGTGTTAGAGTGTATTTCAATCCTCCTGTATTATTGTGGCAGAAAAACTGTGCTGTTAACGTAGTTGGCAACAAGATGCCTTTGGAAACTTAATAGTAGGTCAATGTGTTTATGAAATATTCTGAACTCCTAGGAGATTTTGTTCTATATTTTCAAGCATTATTTGGTTTTCATGAGTGGAAAACATACTTAGCTCAGGCTTATCAGGAACTCAGATGAGTCATTTTTTTCTTGAATCCACCTGCGACACTAAAATCAATTTTTTTTAAAACTAACACACCATCCTTACGTACAGTGAAATTCGGAAGTTATAAATTGGCATGGATCAAGTTTTTTCTTTGGTTTCTATGAAGTTTCAGTTATTGGGTTAATCTATTTTGGACCTTAGCCCAACCAGAGCTGCATAAACCAGTCCCATTACTGTGTTTGCATGGATGTCTGTAATATACACACACATACACATTTGAAAATGATAAAGGAACAAAGAGTTATCATTGGAACATAAACTAAAAAGAAGATTCCAGCACTTGTTCTTGAATTTTCTCAGTGGCTTGTATATGTTTGTCCATACATACATGTATAAAGTATACAATTGCAAACATGTCAGTGAAACCTCATATGATGTTTTTATGGTGACATGCATGTTTAATGTATGAGAAAAATTTTTACCAATGTATTGTCCTTTAATTCCTAAACTATAAATACTATACATGCCAGAAACTATTCTAATGTGACTTTTAATGTGACTATTAAAATGAGGTTTCACTGTACATTCATGCTGTGATGAGATTTCAGCATGTACATGTATATGGATACAGAAAATAAGCCCTCATTTTCCTGCTTTAAGTTACAGCCAAGTTACCACCAAATCACAACTATCATCACCACCAAAATTTTCAAAAACAGTTGTTGACTACTAAAAGGTAATCAGTGGACAGGTCTTTTTTGGGAGCAGTAAGCACAGTGGTGTGGTTATATCTGGGAAAACATCTAAGTTGTACAGCTGTATCCTCCTCAAAATCCGGTGAAGAATGCTATTTTTCTAGGCTGAGCTTTTGTTATAAACCTAATATTCAGAAGGCAAGAGTTACAATCCTGATGTGTCTTTTTTTTTTGCATTTGTTAATTCTGAATGTATTTTTAACAGAGTGATTTTTTTGACTTACTAGTGTAATTTGCATTTTAAAAATAAATGGAAAAACAATTACGTTTCCGAGCCATCCCTAAGCCCCTGCGCTTCTCACAGTGTATTTGCTTATGTCATTGACAGGGAAATGCTATTAAATTTACGTGAAGGCAACGCTGATGCTCTGTGCAGTGCAGGGATGTGTCAGCAGTGAAGAGGAATTGTCAGGTCATGGCACCATTTTTGCTCAGTCATAGGTAACATGTACTTTCATTATCTCCTGACACTGAAGGTTCTTTTAGAAGTCTGCCTGCGATAGACTTGCTGTCATTTGAAGAACTTTTTTGTTTCCTTCTATCTGGGATGTAGAGTTAGCATCAAGTTAATAGTTGACAGAGCTGTATGGACACTATATTAAAGACCTTTGGTTAAATTATAGGTAGAGTTTTTCATTTTTTTATAGGACAAATTATTTTCAATAAAATACTCATTCATTGCCCATTTGATGACAGAATCTTTTTTGTTGTTGTTGTTAGAATATTGTTATTCATCTCAGTAGAAGACAACTATTGTGAAGCATGTTGCCATAAAGTGGGCAAATGGAAAAGGTTAACCCCTGCATTAATGATTGCAAACATAATTTCAGCTGAGGTTCATTGTATGTACCAAAAGGTTCAAGGGCAGCAGGCACAGGCTGCTCCAGGCTCGGGCTGCTGATGGGCTTGTGTCCTTCCTCCCACTGCACACAGACATACACCAGCCCCCATCAGTCAAAATGCTGAAGTTGAGCAAAAACAAGGAAGAGGCAGTATTCTAGGAAGCTGAAGATCAACTTGTAATACTTGACTTCTCATCCCACATAGTGAGAACCTTATAAATGATCAAGCCTACTTTTACTTTTGTTCCCTGTGTGAAAAGTATACTGATGTTCATTGAAGTAGATGTGGATGACTGCCAGGATGTTCCTTCGCACTGTGAAGTCAAATGCACACAACATCTCAGTTGCATGAAAAGGGACAGAATGAATAAATCAAATACATATGCATTTTCATGCACTCATACACACACCCTCTCTTTAAAAAGATTCCTTCTGGAGTTCTCAATTAAATAGATTGTGAATTTGGTAAATACTATAACATGTGGAACCAAGACCTTCATTTGGCAACTATTAAAAAATATAACCTCTGATACAGTGAAGCAAATATTCAACATTTCACTGTACTATAATGAGTGGACCCCTTTAATTAAGAAATACACACTCATTTTAAATAGGTCACATTGTAGAACAAAACTTTGAGATCCAAATCTATTCATTATACAGACAGTAAATTAAGGCTTAGAGAGTTTAAGAAAACTCAAGAGGTCAAGATTAACCATATATCCTGAAAATGCAAATAACTCGTGATTCTACAACAAATTCTAGTATGTGTACTCTGGTCAGAATAGAATAAACCAAATCTCAGATACTGTCAACTGACCTTGGATTTTATAAATTCTAATTAACCTTGATAAGAAAGACTCTAGGCAGTATTAAACCATAAAATGCTCTTGAATTATTGTTTTTAGGTTTAGTATAGTTTCACTGTCAAATATATTTTATTATAGTTATTTTAAAAACCAATAACCCATGATATGTAAACATGTATATATGATATGGTCTCATATATTTAATATTACTCAATTATGTTTAGGTTCAGGGTTAGAAGTGCTTCTGTTATTTCTTTTACAGTATACTTATGAATAACTAATGTTAGAGAGATAAAGATTACCTAAGCAGTCCTGTCTTGAGTACTTCCTATACTTGTCAAGAAAATCTTTCTTCAGACATTTTACGTCTTTGGTAAAATTTTAGCACTCAACACTTGTACTCAGGAAGCTTTGATATGAATATTCTTACATTGTAAAATCCTCAATTATTATCATCACATATGAATCTTTGCTTAGGATCCATGTTCAATCCTCTTTTCATTTCATTATATCTATCTTCTACCCATTCACAAGAAAGAAAGAAAAAAACTTGTGATTGGTACATTATGTCCTGTTTAAAACACACTGGTATAATAACATAATCACTTTTGATAGCTATGAGAGCAAAATTTCTAACACATTGATGTATTCTATGCCTTTTAATTCAACAAGAATTAAACTAGTACTAGATAATACATTCAGGGATCACATTTACCACCGAAATCTGCACCCGAATCATGAGTTATGACTGCCAATGACAACAAAAAAGCGAAGCTGAATTCCTCCTAAAAGGGATAAAGGCAGATATTTTATACTCTCTAGAATTATAATGAGGTCATTTTTTAAAAAATCCTTACACATCATGGAGTTTAGAAGCAAATGAGCTTAAAATGTTGATGGGTAATGAAAGTTGATTTCTGTAAGATAAATTCAGAGAGGAAAAATCCTTTTACGAGACACATGTTATGCTCTTACATGGTCAACTGTTATTAAAATTAATATGAACCTTTTCTATAATGACGGTACCCTAATAATAAAACACGTATATTTTTTTAACTGCTCATTCTACTCACATATGAATTTAAGCTGTAACGGCAATGGAATAAAACAACTCCCAAAAAAGATTGCAAATTGATGCTGTCACCCCAAGGATGATAGATTGATTCAATTAATCAGTAAGTCTTTTCTAAGAGTCCTTCAGGGAGGTATTTACCAGAGGCATACCATGTTTATTCCCTTGCATGAGCCTGTCATTTTTCTTCATTATTCTTCTAGTTTTA